CTTAACAAACTTTAGTAGGCCATGCCAGGCTAAGTCATCATGTGTCTGAGCTAGCCTTCCTGCTGTTTCCCTGATGGACAAGGACTAAGGTAGGCATCAGAAACCAGAATAGCTATGAAATCAGAGCTTAGCTGTGAAGAGAAAATACAGTAACTACAACCAAAAGCCCCAAACCAAGGCAGGATGTTGTAGTCTCTGAAACAACATCGGCAAATGGAGAAGCCAGCAGGATTCTCATCCAGATGCCATTCTTCATGCAGAATCTCATGAAACCTCAGAGGAAAGCCAGACATTTCTTTCTCGTTTCTTTGCTTTTTTAAAACAGGGTTTCTCTGTGCAGCCCTGGCTGTCCTGGAACTTACTCTGTAGACCAGGCTGGCCTTGAACTCAGAAATCCACCTGCCTCTGCCTCCTGAGTGCTGAGATTAAAGGGGTGCGTCACCACCGCCAGGTTTAAGTTCCAATATTTTTAAAAAGGACTTGTTATGTTGTAGAGTCTGCCAGTGACTTGAGAAATGGAAATCAAATGGCTTCGTTTTTAACTAGTTATTCTAATTTTTCTTTTGTACATGTGTCTGCTTAACAACCCCCTTTGATCTAGTTAAATCATCCCTCTGTGGTGACAGGAGACACACAGATGTAGTGGATGGAAATGGTGGCCTGGGAATTGCTTAGCTTCTGTGACAATAGGTCACATGTCCACCTTGTGGGTATATAGTGCAGTATTTGATCTTGTTGGAGCAGTTCCACATGATTTTAATTTTTTTTAATTTTTTTTTTTTTTGCTGGAGGCTAATCTTCAATCAGCAGGCAGCGCCCTGTAAGTGGAACTCTTGGGTATAACTTGAATCATACCAAACTCCCTAAGTCCCGCCTGTTTCTAAGCCAGTTTCAGTCCCACAGTGAGACAACATCATGTAGCTGATACCTGCCTTGCTTTTGACTCAGAGAACTTTTGTGCTGTGGCCTGTCTTGGCCTAATGTCCATTCAATATAGTGCGTGTTAAAGAAACGGGATCACTGCATGGTTTATGATTACATCTTATGGTGCTGAGAAACAGTCTCTGCAAATACCAGGAAGCTTTGCGCACTCTCTGTCTCTCTCTCTCCTTTGTCTGTCTGTCTGTCTGTCTGTCTGTCTGTCTGTCTGTCTCTCTTTACTGTCTCGTGTGTGTGTGTGTGTGTGTGTGTGTGTGTGTGTGTATGCAAGATTGCTCAGAAGGAACTCAGTTCAGTGTAGGTGACCATGGTAAAATAAAACTCTGTTTCAGACGAATTTATGTTGCTTGTTTTCAAGTCTCATTCACTATAATTCACTGTTAACAGTTTCATGGTTAAAAGGAAGAGACAGTTTAAAAAAGAGATTTACTTTATATTTTATGTAAGCCCATGTGCAGGTGTGTGCAGGTGGCTCTCAGAGGTCAGACGAGGGGGGTCAGAGTTCCTGGAGTTAGAATTTCCAGCCATCCAATGTGGATTCTGGGACCCGAACTCAGGTTCTCGGATAAAGCATCAGTAAGTGTTCTTAACGGCTGAGCCATCTCTCCAGGATGAGAAGTCTCTTTTCTTGAAATACCAAGTTATTTAAAATTCTTTTAGGAATGTGGCACTGTAAACAATGGCAAAAGCACAGAGACACAGAGCCTGCACCGTGAGGCTCCTCTGTGGAGCTGTGGTGTCAGCTTGCTTCCTTAGGCTAGGCCAGAGGACTTTGATGTCTTTACTTTTTGGATGTTTGGTGGGGATCAATTAGCACAAGGAGGAGCCACCTTTCGAGACCCAGGGGCTACTCTGGAGGTGTTCTAGCCTTTCTCTATAGTCTAATTGACTGGGATTCTGTGTTGGTTTCTGTGGTAGATGATTCTCCCCACCCCCAGACAGAAATTCTGTAAGCAGTCTACAGATTTTGGGGCCAGGTTCAGTGGCATACAGCTAACTAGCTGTGATAGCTCTGTCAAGTAGATACAATGTGAAAATCACTTAGGAGAGGGACTTCAGGCAGGATTGGCTAGATCAGGCTGCACAAGGCTTGTCTGTGAGGGACTGTTTGATTGCCTTACTTAAAGTGGGGAGACTCTCCCTAGCAGCAGGCTGCACCATTTCCTAGTGTGGGGCCCTGGACTGTATCAGAGTAAAGAAAAGTAGCCGAGTACTGACCACTGTGTGCAGTCATTCCTGTCTGCTTTTGATCATGACTAGATGTTTTAAGTTCCTGCAGCCTTGACTTCCCTAATATGTTGAACTATAATATGGAGCTGTGAGCTATATTGATTGATAATAACCTCTTCACCCCCCAGTTGCTTTTTGCCAGGGTATTGTAAAATTAACTTTTATTCTCTGTTGCCATTGTTGTCTGGGTGGTTTACTGCCTCAGTCTGCTAACTGAGGCCTAATCCTGGAAGCTTCTAGCCTCCGTACAGTCTTATCTTGGCCTAGAATGTTTTCAGTCTCTTTTCAGTCTCTGAGACTTCCTGTGGAAGAAGTTCACCCTTTCTAGTTCTTTCTGCACTCTACAGATGTTCTGGTGCAAATTCCTCTCCAAGCTGACTGATTCAAGCTGGCTTTTCTCTCAGCCTCTGAATTGCTCTGCTTGGCCTCAAACTAACTCTAGCGATCTCTTCTAATCTTCTGGATCCTTCTCATTCTCTTGTTCGCTTTGTCTTTACCTGTGTCTAGCTTGTTCTTTCTTCAGTCTGTCTCTGTACAATTCCCGGTAGAACTGCCTCTGTCTCCCTCTCGGCTGGCTGTCTACTCTCCCACTCAACTCTACTGTCCTGCTCTCCACGAGCTCTGCTGTATCTTGTATTGGACTCTCTTCTTCTGGTCCTGTCTGTTTCTCCCTTAAGTAGCTTCCCTTTCCTCTCCTTGTGAGAGTTGGGCATATCCTATCCTGCCAAATCTTTCTCTGATTTGCCATTTTTCCTGCCACCCAATTAGACATCACTTTCAAACATGGCTGCTTCCTCCTGCAAACCAACTTTACCATCATTGTTTGGGATTAAAGGTGAGTACTAAGGGTGTGTCTGTATTCCAGTCAGAGAGGTTAAAGGTGTGTGGAGGGCTGAGCCACACCCTAACCAGACACAGATTCATATATCCTATAACAGGATATTTTATCTCAGCAACAGAAATGAAACTAAGATCTTCCTGGGACCTGTTGCATGTTCGTTCTCAAGATAAAACTGACTTTGGACCTGGTCTCCGCAGTCCAGAACACTAACCTGAGACTGGAGGGACTCAGTCTTCTGGGGCAGGTGATGAGATAGCTCTGGGAATGCTGGGAATGCCCCCATTCCTCCACTACTTCAGACTGTCTACCCGTGGAGACTAAGATGATGCTGGGTCAAAGTTTTCTCTGTCGCTAACCATGTTTAGATAGAGATCCAGTTTCTCACTGAAGGAAAAAGGCAACCATGGCTTGTCACCAAAAGAGAAGACGGCTATAGCTGTGAGCATTCTCAGAGTCTTTGTGGTTTTCAACCAAGGTTTTCAACTGGAAAAGTATGTGGTTCATTTATTAAAGTAAACTTTAAGAATCTTCATAACCCAAGTGTGTGTGTATGTTGCATGTATGTGTATTGCATGTGTGTGTTGCATGTATATGTATAGTGTGCATGCATGCATGTGTGCAGTGTATGTGGTGTGCATATGTGTAGTTTGTGTATGTGTATGGTACATGCATGTGTGTGTGGTGTGCATATGTGTAGTGTGTGTGGTTTGTGTGTGTTTGTATGGTGTTTGCGTGTGTGGAGTATGTGTGGTTTATATGTGTGGTGCATGTGTGTGTGTGGTTTATATGTGTGTGTGGTTCCTGTGTGCATGTGTGTGTGTGTGGTGTGCATATATGGAGTGTGTGTGATTTGTGTGTGTGTGGTTCATGTGTATACATGGTGTGCATGTGTATAGGGTATGTGATTTGTGTGTGTTTGTGTGTGGTGTATGTATGTATATGTGGTTCATGTGTATATGTGTGATGTATGTATGAAGTGTGTATAGTTTGTGTATATGTGGTGTATGCATGTGGGTGTGGTTTGTGTGTGGTATACATATATATATGTGGTTCATGTGTGTTGTGCAAGAATGCCGTGTGTTTGTATGTCTCGAGGTTGAACACTTTACCAACAAAGTTGTCCCTTCAGCCTTGTTGTCTGCCTCCTATCCCTTAATCTGTGGACAAGCTGTTTCTGTTTTGTACACAGACACACACACACAGACACACACAGACAGACAGACAGACACACACGCACATGGCCTGCTCTGGAAGACTGAAGTCTGTGTAGCCTCAGTGTAGACAGACATAGCAACTGTTCCGTACACAGACACTACTACCCAGCTCTCAAACATATGCCTTCCATGGACCAGGTATTTGGTGTTGGGAAGCTTGCATACCGGGAGCCTCCTTCTGGTCCCGATGGTGCGAGTTTAAGGCACAGCACATTATACCCCATTATACATAAGTAAAGGAAAGAAGGGGTATGAGACACAGGTAAGAGAGAGATTCTGTCCCTTAAACCATTCCCTTATTTGAATTAGAAACAATGAATGGGGTTTGAGTCTGTAACAGTATTGTAACATTGTCAGCTCTCTGGAGACTGGAGATGTAAATGTATCCAGATAGTGTGTAGGTAAGGACTGTGCCATCTTATGTAAGGGACTTGAGCATAGGGGCACCTGGAGCTCTCATAGATAGTGACAAACAGCTGTCCTTTTTTTCTTTTAAGCTATTGAGTGGAAGGAGATTTCATTATACTAGCTACTTTGAACTTTCTGTTCTGTTTAATCAAATTTCTGAAGGATAAGACATTTTCTTTTGTTCAGGTGCCAAGTCTGTTCCACAGCAGATGGATTAGAGGGAGCCTTCCCAAAATGGATTTCCATTGTAAAGAAAAGGCAATGTGAGTCCCTGTGCAGTGTTGCCCCCTAAACTTCACAACTTTAACTCTCAAAACAAAATAGAAACAATTCTTAAATGCCTATAAACTCAGTACCAAAAGGCACAATAAAACAATATTATTTTATTGGAAATATACAGAAACATTACAGATGTATAAACTATCCAAAATGAATAGTACTTATAAACATTTGAAAAATATAAACTCTTATAAACAGTTTATCAAAAGTATTTGAGAACATTCAACATATTCATGACCCTTCTCCCCCCTCCCTCGTACCTCCAAAGCTTTTGAAGGTGAAGGTGACATTTAGTTTGGTTTCACTGGTTTTATTATTTACCCCCTCACACTGAGAATCAAACCCAGTGCCTGTGTGCATGCCGAGGGAACACTGAGCTACATTCCCCCTCTCTAGGGAAAATATTTTTGTTGGAATGGTCCTGTATTGTGATGGAGAGTGGACAATGCTGAATTTGCCTTTACTCGGATTGTCGAAAATGAATAACGTGACTGAAACTGAGGAACGATGAAGAATTCACACAAACTTGTGCTCAGTGGTCCTCCTCTTTCTTGTAAGAACAAGGATTAGAACTCAGGTTCAGTGAGAATCAACTTTAGTGAATTGCCTACTATTTACTGGGCACAGAATAAGAAGCTTTCCATGTATGTTAAATAGCATTTTCTTCCTTTGTTTTTTTAAAGAAATAAGTGTTAACTTAATCCAATGTTTGAATTTTATGAACATCTTTTACTCTGGACGAAAAATAGAATGATTAACCATTGACCTAATAGTGAAGTTATAATTCAAAAGGCAAAACCATTTTCTTTACATATACATTGACACCCACCAAATAACTCATGTCTATAAGATGACAAGGATACACATTCAAATGCACACGAGTAAGAGACAGCAGTTCCGAATGTCATAGAGGGACACAGTAGTTTACTCTTTCTTGAGCAGTATCTTCCTACTCGAGAGAGATTCAGCTGTGGTATTAGATCTATAGTAACATTTAAATTTTTTAAATGCATATTCTCACCAGCAATCTTTCCAGAGATTTGCAAATATTTGCCATTTTTTATTGTTTCTTCATATATGACAACTGATTAAATCTCTCAGTCTCTCTCCTGGGCGTATATGTCAACACCAATTCATTTTCTAACCCAAGACACATGGATTCTTATGTTGCAGGAACCTTTGACCTGTGAACAATGTATGAAGGGCAAAACTTGACAGCTAAGGTGTCAAGTAACAAGTGACATTTAATAAATGTCTAAAAGTTAAGATCACTAGAATGGAGAATGGCCGCAATGAGGAAAGATGTCAAGAAAGATGACTGATATCCTCACCAAGAGGAGACCCTGGGGGAACCCAGTGGAGTCAAAGCCACAAGGGGAATTGGCAAAAGAATTAGTACAGGTTTCAAACATACTACCCTTTCAGAAGATAATTTTCTACAAACGTGTGTTCACAGCTTCTACATCTGCTACTCAAAGTGAGTCAGTGACAGAAAGTAAACATGTATTTGCCTTGAGGTATCAAGTCACGGGATGCCCATGGATTATCAGCTCTCCCAAACACACAGTACAGTTAGCTGCACTCAACAGTTACTCTTGTTGAAGATTCTAAGAGCATGAGTGTAGAATGAGTCAGAGAAGTCAAATGCAAAATTTTAATGAGCAAATGATTCTTCCTGTAGCATGACTTCAGAGTTTTTTGTTTGTTTGTTTGTTTGTTTGTTTGTTTTTAAGGGACTTTCTCTCTCCCTACACACTTATCGATGATCTGAATTGGAAAGTAAGGTCATAAGGAATTCAACAGAAAAAAACCCGGCCTCTGTCATTGCAAACAACAGTAGGCTGTGCCCATTCTGAAAAGTTAGAAAGTGTTTATAATTTCCTTATTAAGGTGAAAATAGCAAGTTTTAAAAGGACATTAAGATTGTACAAGGAATCTGTTAGTTCTCAGTTTTGGATGACCCATCTTTTAGGGATAAGACCTTTGAGAAAAATAGAAGCATGCTATGAACTTCACATTGCATAGTGATTGTTTTTACAATACCTCTATGTCAACAAGAAGAAATTTATGGAACAGTAGTTTTTCAAAAAGCAGCTGTACCACCTTTAACTCAAGCACTCAGGAGATAGAAGCAAAGGAATGCTGAACTCGAGGTCAGCTTGGGTCACATAGCAAGAGCATGTCTGAAAAATAAACAAATGAGAAAACAAGCCGATAGAAAACATCCCACCTATAACAGAGAGAGAGAGAGAGAGAGAGAGAGAGAGAGAGAGAGAGAGAGAGAGAGAGAGAGAAGAAGAGAAAAAAAAGAAAAAGAAAAGGAAAAAGGAACAAAATGGTTGTTGGAAGTCATTGCAAAGCAAAAGTCACTTGGGATTTCCAGAAAACATGTTTTGCTTACATTACCTATGTCCATAATAGATTCTCTGACATAATCATGTGTGTGTGCTTGGGAAAAATAAAAGAAAAATATGTGTCATAAACTTTTTAGTTCAGTATGTTCTTTAACATTTTGCCTATCCGCTGTGTAGTGCAGACCAGAGGTCAATACACCAGTGTTCCCGTTTCTTAGTTTGATAGCATGAGATTATGAGTCATGGGACAACGGCGTCCAAGATTCTGCTCAGTCAGAAGACAGTTAACAGATCTGTGAGTCACCCTGAGTCCAAGACCAGGCAGGGATGAAGCACCTCCTGGCAAATCTATCAACCAGAAGAATTATTCTGAGACAAACGTACACCTTTGACTTCTGTTGAGCTCGGTGTCTGTCTTGGTGGTTCTGAAAACATAAAAGAAGGACACAAATCTTCTAGAGGAAGATTAAACTTGATTTTCCAATTTGGAGGCTCTATAGAGCAAAGAGCTTTTCACTTGGCCTCCCATCCTGAGGATGTGTACAGTGTTATACATGCTAACACACAAACAGACCTTCCGAGAGCAAGTATTATTTCTCTTCGGGTATCTTGGTTGAAGTTCAAAGTTTATGGATACTTTGGTTATCAGTCCTGCTAAACAGGGTGATGTCATCATCATACCCTGAGGCTGAGAAGTCTGCATTCTCTAGTAAAACATAACTGCTCTGACTGCCATTTGGAGAAAGGACTTCTTTCTTAGCAGTAGACATGAGCTCACTCCAGGTGATGGTGGTGTTTTTAAAAGCATGCAGGAGGAAGATGCCATTGATGATGGTGAAGAACCCACTCAGGGTACCAATGACATCTCCAGCTTTCATGCCATACCACTCCTGGAACAAGATGGCAGAACAGGTCACCACCATGGACGTGAAGAAGACATAATAAATGGGAGTCACCAGAGACGTGTTGAAAGTGTCCAGGGCCTTGTTGAGATAGTTAATCTGGGTCGTTACTGAAAGCGCAAGCACGGCCAACAGGATGAAGAACAGGGGGTCCTTGTAAACAGGCTTCCTTTCCAGCAGTTCCTTAATGGCGATTCCCAAGCCTTTGACAGAAGAAACGGAAAACGCTCCGATCAAAGAACAGATTGCGATGTAGACCAATATATTAGTCTGTCCTTTCTTGGGGGCCACAATCAAAATCAGCACCAGTGAGATCACAGAGATGATCACCGCAAAGGAAATGAACCCTGTCAGGTTAGGAGGGCAAAGAAAGAATTAAGACTCAGGAGATGCTAACAGGACCACACCTTACCGAGATACTGTTAGTCACAAATTTAAAAACACAGGATTTTAGAACAACTGAGAGCAAATAAGCATCATTCTGCTCCTTAGTGATTTCATAGAGCACTTCACAAACATATTATTTGAGTCTGGACAATAACCCTGCTAGGCCTGGCAGATATAGTGTTTTATATGTTTACTTAAAGGATAAGGGGAAGGGATATGGGTTCGTTATAAATCTTCCATCTCCACTTGCCTCACCTCTTGTTAGTGTGAAGCAAGGACACACAAACCCCCAAATAAATGGTTACTTCTTGGAGAATTTAATCCCACTGCAGTTTACAATCCACAGCAGGCTTGTAGGATACCTTCAGTGTCACCACAAATATCCTCTGGTGACAGGCATGGTGAAGCATGTTGGAAATGTCAGCACTCGAGACTGGCAATGAGGACTGTAAGTTCAGGGCCATCCTGGTTTATATAGTGAGGTATTATCTCAATAAACCAAACCAGACCAGACCAGACCAGACCAGACCAAACCAAACGCATACATACAACTTCAGTGTTTTTTCTTTCTTCCTTTTTTTTTGTTTGTTTTGTTTTAAGGCTGAATCACTGACCTGGATCTCTCAATTTCATTTCCATTTCATGCAAGGATGTGACTTCTCCCTCTTGCGGGGCGTGGATAACCATCACAGTTGACCCCAATAGGCTTAATATACAGCCTATTTTCCCGTGAATGTTCAAGTGCTCATTTAAAAAATAGGAAGACAATATTGCACTGTCGAGAGAGAAAGAAACAGAATCACTGGCTGTTCAATTACCTTCTGATGCTGTAGCAGCTTAGAGGTTGCAGTGTGGGTTGCTCTGTACCCCACAGAGCTGACTAGAATATGCTATGTGATACCAAAACGCCCAAAATTGTTCAGAAATGATGGTTATGTATTTATATCTTACCCCTTTTATGCCCCAGGAGGAGATATTATAGACATGTTATGCTACAGACACTCCCGTTACCTCTTAATTAGATTAATTAGAGCTTAATTAGCTTCCTATCACCTTATCTCCTGTAAAGTAACTCAAATGAAAGCTATTTTATAGCTCACTGCTAAAACTGAGCAATCCCTTCTTTGAAATGCTTGGCTCCTCAAATGCCTTGATTGGACGTGTTTTGGAGTGTGGCTTATTTGCATATATGGGATCTTTTAGGGACCTGAGCTTAAATAGAAGATTTATGTATGCTTCAAGTAAACTTGACGAACTCATCTGAGGACAATCTTACACAAGATGTTTGATGGGGTCATGTTGTCATGCAAGTCTGTCACATGAGGTCATGTAAGGAAGTCTGTCACATGAGGTCATATAAGGAATTTTTCACTTATGGGATCCTAAGCAAGCTCAAATGGTTCAAATTTGGGAGTGCTTTGGCTTTGTGAGTTTTGAATTAGGGGTGTTCAATCTATCCATTTAGAATACAGCCGACCATGGATGTTGTAAAGACACAGGCCCTAGGCTGGGGAGATGGGTCATTCAGTGCAGCAAAAGGAGCAATGCCTGAGTTTCATGACTAGGACCCTCGTAAAAAAGCCAGTGTGGTTGTGCATAGTTTAAAAACCACAGTGCTGGGGAGGTGGAGATTAAAGAGTCCCAGAGGCTTCCTGTCCAGCTAGCCTAGCTTATGTGTGAATCTCCAGCTCAGTGAGAGATTCTGTATCAACATAAAAGGGTGTTCAGTGTCTGGGGAATGACACCTGAGGCTGCCCTTTGGCATTCATTACACACACACACACACACACACACACACACACACACACACACGAACGAATGCATGCATGCATGCACGCACACACGAGTGATATGTACCTAGATAGCAGAGTTGATATGTAACTATCACAGACCTGTTCAACCATGCAGACTGTCAAATAGAAAACTCCACCTGGATATTTCTGCCTATTGAAAGTTACCAATGCTTTGTGTTTCACGATTGGCTTTTAAAATGCTCAAGGTTGGCACCTCCGTGGGCACCAGAGTAGGACATCCTGCTGCTACATCAAGAGGATGGCTGTGGTTCCAGCCCGCCAGGCTACTTCTTTGCTAGTTTCAATTTATGATGCCATTTGACTCCCAAGACTTTTTAGCAGGTGCTTTTTCAGAGTTGTCCTCTAGTGGTCACTTGTGGGACTGCAGTCCCAGTGAAAACTCATTAGGTTCTCTCTATTCTATAAAGACAGAAAGGAGAAGTGGGGAGACCTAGGCAGAAGCTTTCTACTAGATACATATACTTTATAGACTCTGAAAAGACAAAGGCAATGCCATGGTAGCCAGGCCACACAGAGTTCACGGCTCATCAAACACGTTCACTCGAATCACAATACAAACCAACTCAAAATAAAGCCAGATCCACTGTGCTGGTTGGTTTTGACACAAACTAGTCACCTGGGGATATGGACCCTCAATTGAGGAGTTGCCTCCTTCAGACTAACCCGTGGGCATTTTCTTGGTTAATGAATGATGGTGTGTGGGAGGGGTCAGTCCACTAGGAGTGTTACAACCCAGGACAGGGAGGTGCTCCTGGATTGTATAAGAAAACAAGCCGAGTAAGCTGGGGGGAGCAACCCAGTAAGCAGTGTCTCTCCATAGTTTCAGTTTCAGTTTCTGCCTTGAGCTTCATCCCTAGCCTCCCTCAATGGTGTGCACATGCATGTGTGTGTGTGTGTGTGTGTGTGTGTGTGTGGTGTGTGTGTGTGTGTGTGTGTGTGTGTGTGGTATGTGTGTACCCTTTCTACTCCTAGGTTGATCTTGGTAATGCTGTTTATTAAAGTAACAAAAATCAAACTAGGACATCCACATACTATAAAACAGGGACTCCTACTACAGGGGTATGGAATTTTTGCAAGAGTTGAAATGTAGCTTCAACACTATGCCTTTTAAAGTCTTCTGATGGCCGTAGCCATTAATCACTATGGCAACAAGAAAGATTCAGAGAAGTTTACTCAGATGAAAGGTTTAAAACAGACACACACTCTGGCTAGGCTTCACTGAATCGTCACAAACATAAATTGCAAGTACCTTGTGAGTACTTGTGAGCAGTGACACAAGTGCTCTTGTCCCATAGGGGTTTTTTGGAGGGGGGGGGGAGTGTTGCTCTTTGGTTTCTTGGTTTTGTATTAACAACAATGTAGTTTCTATTTCTATTGTTATTTTTTGTAGCTTTCTTAAGTTATTTTTGTAACTTTTTAGAGACAAGATTAGATTTTATCTTTGTTGGGGGTTGAACCCAAGACCTTCTGCATGTAAGTGATTTCCTAGCCCAAGAAACAGACCCTTATGCCTATGTTATAAATGGCTCGCCTCTAAGATTTCAGGAGTCCCAGACATTATTTGGGGCTGTCTGGGCTTTGTGAGCTCAGATTGCATTGTTATTCTTTGTGCTGTGATTTCTCATGGTTTAAGGCTGCCGGCAATAGTGAACTAGCCTCAGAAATCAATCTCTCTGTTGTTCTCTTACCTTATGAGAACGCTCAGAGCCCCCAGCGGAGTGACCAAGGTGGCGGGTGCGAAGGCATAAGCAGCGAAGTTCGCAGCCTCTCCAGCTCCCACTGGAAAGCAAGCAGAAATATGAGCACATGGGATTGTAGCTGCATCAGAAAAAAAATAAGCAAATGGCTCATGCTATCAGCAGACTTCTATCTCAAAGTGGCTAAGACCTACCGGAAAGCATTGACTTTGACAAATTACTTCTTGCAGCCTGTGAGAAAGGATTGCTATCAGGGGATGCTGATCTACCTGCCTGGTGGTAACAATGTAACAGTGCTGATGGACAAATGTGTGATATGGGGTTTTGATGGAGACTTGAGCCACTAAGATGTTGTAAACATATTTGATCAGTCGAATGGATTCTACTAGAGGTAGCTTTGGAATAGGTTGGAAACGACTCCACTTGCAATTTAACCACAGTGACAATATCGGCATCTTATAAAATGAGAGGGTTTGTAAGGAATTCCCGCCACAGGCCCACGGCTGGAATCTCCGAATTGGAGATGACCTACAGGCAAGTGATGGTGTCTCAGGAGCCCAAGAAGAGCCAAGGAGCTGCTTCAAAGTCCTAAGAATAGATGTCTAAATGTAATCTTCTCTGAGAAACTTGAGATCCACACCAAGTACTACATTGCAAATAACTTTCAGAGGGAAGGAAACTCCCCCAAGAGCTAGCTTTTGTGTGAAAGCTAGCTTATTCTCAGAGACTGCAGGGGGATACTTCTCCAGAGACTGTAATATTCAATGCTGTCCAACTGCAACACGCAAACACATAGCGGAGAGAGGAAACAGAAGAGTATATCCCTTTTCTTTGAATACCCAGCATTAGAACACCGTAAAGACAGATCTAAATTTACAGAGCAATTAGGAGACTGCTCTCATAAAAAAAAAAAGTCATGGTGCCCTTTCCAGACTATTCAGTTTCTTTTGGTGCCTTTATATTCAAATATTATATTATTAAATTTTATATTATATTATAAATATAATATTAATATAAATTATAAATATAATTATATTATAAATATTATATTAATTATATTATAATTATTATATTGAGATGGTTTCTAATTTTATAGATGTTGTTCTATGCAAATATTAACTTTACATGCTAATAGCCAGAAAGAACCCCAATGTATGTTCTTACCCAAACTATCACAAGCTTGTTTGCTTAGTTTACATGGCATTGTAAACATAGCCACACAATTTTCTCCTTAGATTTTCATTTTAAGATTTATTTTTTACTCCATGTATGCAAGTGTTGGCATGTATGCATATCTGCACATTTTGTGGGTGTCTGGAGCCTATGGAAGTTAGAAGAGACGGTCATGATGCCCTGGAACTAGAATTGCGGATAGTTGTGAGCCTCTGTGTAGGTGCTGGGATGTGAACTCAGATCCTCTGCAAGAGCATCAAGTGATCTTAACTATTGAGGCATCTCTCCAGCCCCTGTAGTTTCCTTTGAAAGCATGAAGGAAGGCTGAGGAGATGCAAGGAAGACACGGACACAGAGTAAGAGAATCAGTCAGGTCATCTCTACTGGAACCTTCCTAGGGTAGTCCAGTCAACTTTTACTCAGCCAATGGATATGAAAACACCTTAAAAACAGAAAGGGCTCTACAAATTTAAATATCGACCTTTTTAGTTTCCAACATTTATTAGGGAAAAGGGACTTGGGCTGTTTCTTTTTAAAAATTAAAAAAAAAAACGAGTTCTTTATTTTGTGTGTATGAGGGGTGTGTTCATACGTATGTCTGTGCACATGGTGCCTGTGAGGCTCAGAAGAAGGTATTTGATCCCCTGGAACTGGAGTTATAGACGGTTGTGAGCTGGCGTGTGCTGGGACTCAGTCTGCAAGAACAGCAAGTGATCTTAACTGTCCAGCCATCTCTCCAGCCCCCGGGTTTTGACTTCTAATAGGATTTCTTCAATGCTGGAATAAGTTAATTGTTTTTGGAAAACAGGAGGACTTTAGGGTTCAGGGTACAGAGAGAGCTGAGCTGTGAGCCACATGAAGCTACCTTATGATGTCCTGCCTTTGGAAGACTCTGACTTGACATTGAAGCAAGTTTGTGGGAGGTAAGAGAGGGAGGTGGGGAAGTCAGGGAGAGTGGCAAAGCAGACAGCCGGCCTCCCAGAAGGACATGGTATTAGTATTTTGGAAGTGCTTCAAGCCTGAGAGGTCTGTTTTTATCCTTAAACTTAGTGTGGGAGGAAGAGAGTCCTGATAAACTCTTCTATCTCAAAGCAGCTAAGACCTACTCGAAAGCTATGACAACTTCTTTCAGCCTGTGAGAAGGGATTGCTATCAGGGGATGCTGATCTACCTGCCTGGTGATAACAATGTAACAATGTGGATGAACAAATGTTACAACTTTACTCTGGTATCAATATCCAAATAATCGTTTTTTTAAAATTTATCTACACTTGGTCCTCATAAGGAAGACACACCCATTTACAAGAGAATGTTCAGTCAGGATAGCCAAAACAAGTCAAGTAAGAACTCAGAAGAGGAGCTGGAGAGACGGCTCACAGTTTAGAGCACTGGCTGCTCCTCCAGAGGACCCAGGTTCAATTCCAGCACCCACAGGGTGGCTCACCCAGTCTGTAACTCCAGTTCTCCATTGGATGTCCCCTTCCGGCTTCCTCATGCACTACATGCACAGGGTACACAGATAGCCACACAGGCAAAACACTCATACGACACAAAATATAAATAATAAATAAATAAACGAGGAACAAAGAACTCAGAAGATCCAGGAGGGAAGATGTTTCTCAATTCACCCGGGGAAAACAGGAGAAGTTTGTGATATAAAATATAATATTGAAAACACAAACGTCTTCAATAGCATTCTGTGAAAGCACAGAGCAGGCTCTGTCAAAAAGAGTGAAATAACCTCTTTGGCAGTAAATGGATATAATATGCCAAGTCACCAATCCTTTTCCAACAGAGGTCCATCCTCCAGAGGAGGGAAATTACTGAGCATGAGAACTCATGAGCTTCATACTTACTTGACAGCAGTCCTGCCCACCACAACCATTCCTTGAGGTAAGAATGTCCACCTTGCCCTGGGAAATAGCAAAAAAAAAAAACAAGAGTCAGGCTTTCACCTCAGGAGATGAGGGAAGAAGCCCTGACTCCCCAGAAAGGTGCTGAGCATGTGGGAAAAGGCAAGGCTTCTGGTCACCTAACTCGGCAAGAGTCTTCTCTGAGTGAGGATACACTCTCAGTCCTTCCCAAGGTCTTTTCGAGCTTTCTGCTACCTTTGACTTCCATGATGTTTATGGAAAGTTCCTTTGACTTGTGTGAAGTTTTTACTTGATCACCAGGTTCTCTGACGATGTCAGTTGGCAGTACAGACATAGGGCTTTATAAACTCTAAATTTGTTTTCAGTCGTAGTTAAAAAAAAGTTAAAACCTAAACCATAGCTTGCAGCTGACGCTGGTCCTAGTGGGAAGAAGATAGCTAATACGGAGCCTCTGGGACTTTGGAAGAGCCAATTAAATTCTGGGCAAGCATCAGACAGGTGGACCCTGCTTATCTTTCACTCTGACATACTGAAGAGGACAAGCAGCTTTTCTGAAGCTGCCTAGGGTCATCTCTCTGTGAACTACCTGTGACCTGTGACCCGAGTCACTGCTAACATGTTGGCTATAGAGAATGGAATTTTCTCAGTCCTAACGCACGTAACTACCTGACTCTCACCTTGATGGTTTTGTTATAACTAAACTAAGCAGGACACAAAAGCAATAAAAGATGATCTTGCAAGGTAGTTTATTTTCCTTCCTTAGTATTTTCTCCTTATGAAATTTACAAATGACTAAACAGCAGCCATCACACCGGATGTCTGTACCTCTCCCGTGCTTTGCCATTATGCCAGGGTGTTTTCTTATTGCCTGCAATTGTTCTTTATATATTAGGAATTCTATAACACTGTGTCCTATATTTCATAGCTCTCCTCACCACCAAGATGATCTAATTACTTAGTTTCAGTAAGTTATTTCCAAAGAGGATGTCTGTGTATGACTTATTTTATGCATCCATTCAGAGAATCTCTTAAATTACATAGAATATCTTCTTCCTTTACACATGACAGATTTATGCTTAAGACTTTATTTCAAGTTCAGTCTGGCATGTATTTTGCAGAATGGTCACTGGTTTTCCCTCTACTTTTCCCCAGTTGTCTCAACACTTTTAATTTATGAATTCACTTTTCTTCACTGCTTTGAAGAATAACATATTAGCTGCTGTGTGTAATCTCCCACTCATACATCTTCAACAATCCCTTTTTATTTAAATTCCAGTACCAAATTGTTTTCATTTAAGACCACACTATAGTATATTTTCTGATGGAGCAAATCTTCTCTCCCATTATTCATTTAGAAACTTGTTTACATTTGTAGCCATTTATTTTCCCATTTTGACCTAGGAAAATGTATGAGTTTCTTAAGCTACGATACTTATCAAAATGAACATGAATCCAGTCAGACAGGCTACTCAGAGTCTGAAATGCCACTCTACATATCGGGATTCCACCATTATCTGTTCGTTGACTCAGCAAATATTTGGTGGGTGCCAAATACTGTAGGTGCATGGTTTATGAGTCTACTATCAGTAAAATGTGCTGACTAAACAATACATGCAACATGCAATATCTTAGAGGCAGTGAAGGAAACTGGTTCAATGAGAGAAACCGAAGGGTAGTGGAGAAGGAGACCGTTCTAGGGTGGTGGGCTATGGCACGATTCAGAGGGATGAGTCAGCTGGACGAAGGGTAGGGGGAAGAGAGTTCTGTGCCAAGGGAAAAGCTCTTAGGGTAGAAGGGAGCGTGCTCTATTTCAAGGGCACTAGCGAAAACTTCGTTGGATGTGTTCCTTACCTGCTCTGGTAATTCCCTTGTTGGCCAGTTGCAAGAGACCCTTCTTTTTGAGTATGAAACTTGAGCCAATAAAAACGCTGGAACTTATGGCCAATACCAAGCCTACATACAGCCTGTATTTGTTTTCTACACTTGCTGAAACGCTGAAGTTGGTTTTGGAGGAATTCAGGTTCGTGTAGACTATAGGGTAAGCCAGCAGCTGTGACACGTTTGTAATCTCACAGGAAGCCCGGGAAGAGTTGGAGCAGACCAGCGACAGCACATACCCTGGCAAAAAGAAAGAAGGGGATGGTAAGAATGCGAGGGGGCTGTGCGAACACTCACTCCTGTCTGCTGAAGACGGACCTGAGTGAATGGAAACACATTTCTATTGTAAACAGGAAACTCCCGCCTAAGAGGTGGTCCACAGGCCAACAGACACTTTCAATGCGGCTTTCCCACATTCTTAAAATGACATAAAGATTATTTAGTTGTCATTGTTCAAAGAGGAGAGGATTCACACAAAAGTCTTCTGATAAACCCTGCGACCTTGCAGTACATGAGTCTTGGGTTCAGTAAGGAAGCAGCCCGTTGGAAACGGAAGTGCTTGCTTAGGTCTGCCTTCTGCTCTACAGCTCACCATGGCACCCCCACCCCCACCCACCTCATTCCCCATGATCAGTCTGTCTCACAGAAAGCAGGGTTTGTGACAGGCTGGTGGAGAAGGCCATGGCCATGCCACTGTCCTATAAATTATCCTATTATAGGAAATTTAGCTGACCCATTCATGGGGTATGAACTATGCATTCCAGAAAATGCATTAAACTTTAATTTTGCATACCGCTTAGCCCAAAGAAAATCGTCTCTCAGTTTAACTAATTGACTTGCTCCTGAATAAACAGAATTTTGTAGAAAAATGAATTAAACATCAGTAGGCTTTATAAAGAATAAGATTATAGTAAGAATGCAAAACTACTAGAACAGACCCATTCTGTGCACTGGAATTTTTAGGCTAAACTCTAAAACATGAAAGAGAAACATGTCGCACACCATGAGAAACTTCTGATAGACTGCCACCTGGACAGCTAACCAAGAAACTGACATTGTGACTAAATCTTCTACTTTCTCATCTTATTTCCTTTTTTAAAAGGCAAAGTGTCCCAACATCATTTATCCTAAACAAAAAACAGACAAAGGTAGATCATGGAATTCATGAAAACCCCAAATCCACCATGGTAAAGAGCCTCTTGGAAGGAGAGCCAGTCCCAAGCGATCAGTTGGGAAACATATCCAGATGAACAATACTAAGGGAACCCACCAGGCTGTATTTATACATTTATATGTATAATAACTAAAATAATATTTGAACAGGTCATGAAGTTAATAAGGAATGGTGTGGGATGCAGGGGAAGTTGGAGGGAGGAGAGGGTACCTACTCTCAGTCCAGTACTCGCATAGGAAATTCTCAAAATTAAAAAAAAAAGAAAAAAATGTAAAAACAAAACTAAAACAAGCAGGGCAGTGGTGGCACACGCCTTTAATCCCAGCACTTGGGAGGCAGAGGCAGGAGGATTTCTGAGTTTGAGGCCAGCCTGGTCTACCGAGTGAGTTCCAGGACAGGCAGGGCTACACAGAGAAACCCTGTCTCGAAAAACCAAAAACTAAAACAAACAACAGCACTCTGATTTAACATCCCCCGATCTTACATTATGCCAACACATCACTGACAGCTTCTAAACACGTAGTGAGAAGACTTCCCATAAGGGGATCTTCACGTTGTCCAAAAGCATCCTGAAGCTATCATAATTTATAAAACTCAATTAGGAAACCATCTTAAAGTTTTCAGTCTTGAAATGACTGAGAAACTGATCTCAAACATTTCCTATTTCATTTTTCTGTGTGACTTAAAGAAGAATTGGTTTTACTTGAGAGCTGTAGAACTGATTCTGAGTCAAGACTTTTAAATATTCGAAGGGAATTACATTACTTAAGGGATTTCCAAGAAAAACAGAATAAAACAAAATAGAGAAATGTCCTGCAATATTGTTTTAAAAGAACAACCATGAATGCTCACTCATAGTAGTGAGGTAGCTACAATATTCTTACTTTTCCCTGTGAACATCTCATCTAAACCCAAGAAATGAGCTAGGCATATAATCCAGGCATTTGGGAGTTAAGCTCACAATTTTGAGATCAGTCTGAATTACAGGAAGAGACAGCAGAAAAGAAAAAACCAAAAAAACAAAAGCAGCCAACTAAAGAAACAACAACAGACAAATGGAAAGAGAGCTTGGGCATTTTTTGCTAGTTACAATCTGATTACATTCATTCCTGAGAAAACTTTGAACTCAACTTCCCAATGAATGCATGCTTGTCCTTCACTATGAGGTTAGCATAACCATTCCAGAACTTCATCTCTGAAGTCAGGGTGGGTGGCCCTCATTCCAGAAAAACAATATGCCTTCTAAGCAGCTGATGAAGCAAAAAAACCATTTCCTCCACTTTAGGGGCAGGGGGACGGTCGTGCCAAGGGAACACGAATCATCTTGTTTGCATTTTCCACGTTCTGTCAGGACTGACATGAAGGCTGGGAGTTTTATGGCAGGAGAAATAATAAAAACCTTGCTTGGTTATTGACCTTAGAACTTAAATTGATTTATGCTTTGGGAGTGTATTCAGGGAGGAAAGCCCACAGAGGCTGTGATCGGAGGAGGGAGAATGAGGGTTTGGAGGGGCCCAGGGCACTGGGAAAAGAGAAGGTCAGGGTACACTGTGAGGGCAGAGACCCAGGAGGGTTTTAGAGGATCCAAAGCTATCTCTAATCAAAGTGTCTCTTGATCCCAAGAAGCAAAGTATTTGAAGGACTTGAAGCCAGACCTTACTCCACACTGAAAGTCTGTAACAGTCATTTAAAGATTGATTGTACTAGACAGTCACTTTGAAAGTGAATACAAGGCTGTATTTCTGCCAGCAGAGGGCTTGCTTAACTTCTTTGGTGTTATTGTTCTTTAAATATGAAGTAGAAAATAGCAGATATGTGCTACTTTGTTAAAAAAAAAAAATCACTCGATTTAACAAACAAGATACTACTCCTTAACCGGGCAGTGGTGGCGCACGCCTTTAATCCCAGCACTTGGGAGGCAGAGGCAGGCAGATTTCTGAGTTCAAGGCCAGCCTGGTCTACAGAGTGAGTTCCAGGATAGCCCAGGCTATCAAGAGAAACCCTGTCTCGAAAAACCAAAGGGAGAAAAAATACTACTCCTTACAAGTAAGGCTGATTCTGGATTCTCGTTAACACTTCTCTCCTTAGAAAAGTGATTTCTAAACAAAACAAAACAAAACAAACAAACAAACAAAAAGCCAGGCAGTGGTGGCGCACGCCTTTAATCCCAGCACTTGGGAGGCAGAGGCAGGAAGATTTCTGAGTTCGAGGTCAGCCTGGTCTACAGAGTGAGTTCCAGGACAGCCAGGGCTACACAGAGAAACCCTGTCTTGGAAAAACCTAAAACAAAACAAAACAAAACAGAAAAGTGACTTCCTTGCTGTAACAGTGCCAAAGTTGGGTAACTGGGAATTGTATAGCTAAGCAACCCAAGTCAGTCTTTTTACTTCAGAAAGTGATAAACGTAACATACGTAAAGTCAGTAAAGTCTTAACGTTCACAGAAAGGCAAAACACTTTCATCTCTCAAAGCTACGCACATCTATAGAGAATCATTTAATTGTACAGTTTATGGCAGATTATCTGATTGCTGGGAAGTCTGTGATCGGGCAAAGCTTCATTGTAATTAGAGAATCACAGCAATGCACTCCCAGATTGAAGACTGAGTTGTCTCACCATCTAGTCTTCTGTGGTTGATAAGTCTCAGCCCTTCCATGTTTGGCACACGGTTCTTTCCCTGGTATAGTTTGGATGCATAAGCATACATGAAAGGCCTGATCCCCAGGTGGTACTACCAGGATGTAGTGGCAAGGTCAAGAGGTGGGGTCTAGTTGGGGTGGGAGGGTCTTTGGGTCAATGGAGGTGTGCCTGCCTCAGGGGGCATTATAGCATTCTGTCATCTTTCTCTCTCCCCATGATAAGGTGGGCAGATTTGTTGTGCTGCCTCACTGCAGACATGGGAAGTCTGAGTGGGATCTTTCTGTCCATCACAATTCATTCACCAGATTTGAGCCTCTGTCGATCAGGTCACACCTTCCTTGGTTGGTCTCACTGACTCTGCTGTAGTTTTCCATGCCAATTAAAATAAAGCCTCAATTCCTGCCAACCCTAAACTTTAAAACTTAACATGCTCTGAGACTTGTTCACCTCTGACCTTTTGTTGCATTGTATATATATTCTTGTCTCACTCATCCCTCAAACAGCACAAGTTACACTTTCATTCATCCATCCAAATATTTATTGTCTTTTAGCTGCCACGAATGTTATGAGCACACACAGTGGTGAACATAACTCTCCTGTATTCTAATGGGGAAGGGCTAGAGAAATGAACCATGTAATATGTTTAAATGCCAAGAAAAGCAGTAAAGGCTACATACATATACATGTACATATACATTACATAAACATAATTTGAAAACAGGATTAGGTAGAAATATCTGTTGCATGTAAAAGACAAAATTTGAGGCAGAAGTATGTGTGAGGGGTAAAGGGACTGTGTCGTCAGTGGGATGGAGGACAGGAAGGAGGTGGAACAAGATGTAGTCACAGAGCAGTTGGCACAAGATCCGGTGGGTGGATGGACTGGTAAAAAACAAAACAAAACAAAACAAAAACAAAAAACAAAATAACCCCCCCCCCAAAAAAAAACAAACAAGCCCTATCCTGTCATCATTCCAAAGCTCTACCCAGTTTTCCTTTATATTCAGAGAAAGTCGAGTCCATCTGCCTCATCCACAGGCTCCAGACCTATGGTCCTGCTTCCTCTGTTCTGTAGAACCTTACTAGGTCCGGCTGTCTCTTTTGTAGTTGTCTTAAGTTAGTTGCCCCTCACCTCACATCTTTTATAGTGGCTATTATTTCGTCTGTTACAGCGTTGGCACACACAGGGAGCTGCTTCTTGGCACTGAAAAGCCTCCTCCTGGGTTGAGGTTGTAGCTCAGTGGCAGAGCACAGTACACGCCCGCCCGCTCACACAGCTGTTTCTTCACAGTCACAATCAGAAGAAACTTTCAATTCCCTCTCAGCCAATGACACCATTTAGTACCCCCAAGCAATTATGCTTCTCCTCAGTTTGTTTTATAGCATTATGTTATATGCGTATCCATATGGTTATGGATTTGCTCAAC